ACGCGCGCTTACGCTTTCATCCCGTGCCTTTTTCAATCCAGGAATGCTTGCTTTATTATACTTCCCCGCGGAGCATACATATGCAGTATATACCCCATTGTTTGCCAGTGCATTCATTCCCCTCTTTGTAGCAGCCTTGAAAGAGGTCAAGGCTTGGAAGAAACAGAGACGGCAGCATAACGACACAGCACCTGATGTTCGCAGGCTTGAATGAAAACGATTCGTATTCAATGCTCGCTCCCTTGACAACCTGTCAAATACCCTTATAAGAACAATATAAATTTTCTATCTCAGTAATATATACCTGCCTCAGCCTGCGTGAATGCCATCCGGGTCTGGTAGATGAAGGCTTAGGTAATTATATGTTACATCACTGCCAAAGAAACCATTCATATACTCTTTTCAGGTGGTCCGAGCTTCAAGTACAAAATTTGAAATATTACTCGCCTTTATGAAACTCAGAAGGCTGTGCATAATGTATCGATGGCGTCAAGGCAATGACGTTCTGTTTGTGAGCAGTGCTCTGCGGAACAGCCGGCCTCCGACTGTTCAAAAATAAAATCACACCTTTCCAAATTCGTTCCAATTTCCAACATACTAATATAAACTCATGTATCTAGCTTGGTCTAGCTTGGTGCACTCTTCCTTCTTCCCAGCCTCCTGTTAATTGATCACAGCCTGACTTTGCTGTGTATCAAGTCCCTTGGCACTGAAGTTAAATCGGCCTCTTGCTCAGCGAATGTCGTGTGCGACTCGTGGACCGATTATCAAAAGCATCCGTACTCTGAGTCATGATATCAAAGACATGCGCGCTCAGCGGCCTGGGGATGAAACACGTCATCGTATCAGACGGATATATCGCGGCGACAAGCAGGGCTAGCCTTTAGAGAGATGACCTTTTGGGCGACACTTGAGGATAGCCGTAGGGTTAATACACACCACTCCTGAAACGCCCATTCCTATAATGACGAAAGCCGAGGCACATCGACATGCGCTAGTGTGCTCCGTACACGTTCCATTGGCTGTGGAATCCTGGGTTTATTCACAGGATTGCATAAGCGCGATGGTTTGGGATAGGTGTGACGGTTGGATTAGGAATATAACATGATTACAGCGCTAGCGAATCACGATATCCCTTTTTGATACAAGATCTAAGGTGACGGAAATGAGGGAAATTGTAGGGGATACGATGTCTCCAGCTGCCCCATGAGGCGCGCCTTTCCATTGGCCTCTGGAAAACATTACAAACAGTGGTAGGGCCATGCACAATCAATGGAAATCCTATCTGCCATGACAGCGAATTGGACAGGTGCTTCACACTGAATGGTTTGAGGGCTACTGCTAAAGAAATAAGGGTGGGAAAGAGTAGCCTCGCAGGTGAATTTGAGGGGATCCGTTTAGCAATGTCCAAAACTGCCACTGGAGTAATATTATAAATGCCATCTGCAATGCGTAATTCCGCGTGGCTGAGTTCGAACCAGACCCCGAAAGAACATCATCTAAATCGTCTTGAGTCCGAGGTATGATTTTGAGTCAAATCTTGGACATTCCATCAGTATCCTCCCAAGCTGTTTGCACTGTCAGACTGTAAAGTCGTTTCACCGCTTCGATACCCTAGGTCGCTAACGCCAATCGTCCAGCGTTGAAAGAAATAGTCCAAACAAAACCCCACATCTATATTGATTTGCTCAACCCACATTCGACTTTTCAGACCGACAGTAATTGTAGTGTATAATTGTCTGCCTGCAAGAATTTGGGTATACAACTTCAGTTTACATCATACCAGTTGCCAAAATTCAGACTGCTAAACCACCTGTAAGTATCATTGAAGCGCTTAGCACGGATATGGAAGCACAAGGAAATATCTCTCTGCATCAGGCCTTCTATAGTTAAGGCTATATAGCCTACCTAGTAATTTTCCAGGTCTTATACCTTTCGTTAATATTCGATGATATCATCGTACCTTTGTCCCGGTATGCTAACAGGTCCAAGCATACGCAAATATAAACAAGTATATCAAACTTAGGTCTGGGTAAGAAAGCTTCTTCTAACCTCGACAAGACAACTGGTCGCAAGGCTATGATGCTCATCCCACACAGGACTTTTTAGTCTTCATTAGTGGGCCCGAAAGTCTGGAGTCCAGCTTGCGTCTCGTGGCGCATTTCGTCGGAGGCTGGATACTCTAATCTTCTCTTTGGCTTCAAGACTGTCTTTGTTGACACGAGAGCTGAGGATGTGATTATCTAGTTACCACCGCTGGACAAGAATGGCTTATTTCATTCATTCTTATCTTGTTGGGCTCACAGGTGCCAGGTGGCCTCGCTGCTAGGAGGGTCTGAGTTTACACTTGCCCTCTGACACGTTGCTGCATGTATCCGCTGTATGTGCAAACAACTTGCATATGCCGTTATATGGGTCCTGCCTATTGCGCATTTACACATAAATCAGGGCGAGAACTCCTCGTTCTCGGAACAAAACATGTTCTACGTCCGTCCGTCTAGGATGGTCCTCACCATTTGAGGTTCTCATACTGAGGAACAAACCTTGAGGAAACCCATAGGCCGCGACTGGTCTTGACATCTAGAGCTAGGATAAAGCGCGACATGGCGTATCTGAACCACACTTGATAAAGCAGAGGGAATGATTAGTGACATTCAATGCATGAATCATGGCATATCAATGTTTCCCGCCTTGCAACCGGGTTTCATGGTATAAACCCCTTCAGATTTACTCTGCGATGTTCTCTTTTCCAATTTTTTCCATCCCCATCTCTTCGGAGATTTTTTATTGTTTCCTGATCATTAAGAAGGTTTGTTTCGTTACCATCATCGTAAAGAAAACGTATCTAATAATCTTTTGGTAGACCATGACATGGATCTTGGTAAGCTATTATACGCATAAATAAATATGTATTCTTTGTTAGGGTTCCGTTGTGGTCGAATATTCGAAACAATAAAAATATACCTGCCTGAATCTTTATGAGCTTAGTTGCAAGTATCTGTTCTGTGTAGTTTTGTCAAGTGTAAGAACCAAGATGCATCACATGACGATCCTTGAACTGCCACTTCACCTTCCGTTGCTGACCTCAATACTTACTCCGATTCCTCAGGTGTACGCTGAGGCCTGGCACCAAATTAAATCATTCCCAGCCCCAGGACACCATCATTATAGTATATATTCACCTCTATCTTGCTCACGAATAATGGGAACTAAAATCAACGTTGACGGAGTCTTGCTGTTCGAACAGCCGTTCGCTCGCGTGTGTAGCATCCATTTTTATCAGCGATACCTGCCTAACCATTAATCCCCACTATAGGTTCCATACGAGAATTACCGCAAAGTATTTCGCACGTCTCAGAAGCATGTCGAGCGCGAATTAGGTGCGGTCCAAAGCACTTCAGCAGATCTCGCCAACCGTGCCAAAAATGGGAAGGTCGGGAAAGAGGAGGTGTTGAATTCCATCGAAGGCATGATCGGTAGGGTCGAGAATCTGAAACGCAAGGTGCATTGGATGTTTATCGCATGTTTTCCCTTGCCCATACGCTCATCATCATTAGCTTTCCGAATTACATGGAGGTTCGGGGAAGGCTACACAAGATGTCATGCGTGAACGGCTCCATCACTTGGCCACAATTGAAACATTGCCGGCAGCCAGTGGGCCTGACTTCACGAGATGGGCAGATACGCGGTTGGATCGGTGGCTAGTGGATTGGGCTCTGAGAACGGGAAAAGAGAAGACCGCGCGGCAAATTGCAAAAGAAAAGGATATTGAGGTATGTTTTGTTACAAAGCTCACCCACATACATAATTTCTACGGCGCATCCTTTTAGACCCTAGTCGATATCGACCTGTTCATGGACATACGTCGCATTGAAGGCGCGCTTAACAATCATAGCTGTGCGGAGGCATTGTCTTGGTGCAATGAGAATAAAACAGTGCTTAGAAAGATCAAGGTCAGACCCTTGAACGTGTAGATGTGGCCATGAAACAATTTGCAACCTACAGAGTACCCTGGAATTTGAACTTCGCCTCCAAGAATATATAGAACTATCGCGTGCCCGAAAAACACAGGAGGCGATTGCTTACTCTAAAAAGCATTTGATCACTTGGCAAGAAACACATTTAGCTCAGATTCGCACCGCGTCAGCATTATTAGCATTCTCACCGAATACTACTTGTGGTCCGTATAAGGTGTGACACTAAATCATCTTCGTGGAATAATACTTATTATAGTCTAGCGCTTGTATGATCTTTCTCGTTGGGATACGCTCGTCCGATCGTTCCGCCTCGCCATCTATACGCTCAACACTCTTCCTTCTGAACCACTCCTATATCTTTCCTTATACGCCGGACTTGCTTCTCTTAAACTACCAGCTTGTTACGACCCAAGTACGAAAAATGTTGATTGTCCGGTTTGCGATGGAGAAGATAAAAACAGTAAGAATCCACAAGGACTCGGTCTAGGCAAGCTTGCAGAAGAAGTGCCTCAAAGCCATCATGCAAACTCGACGATTGTCTGTCGTATCAGTGGAAAGATCATGGACGAAGATAACATGCCTATGGCGTTTCCTGGAGGATATGTATATTCTAGAGAGGTTGGACATCTTTTTTTTAACCTTGTTGCTATGGCTAACTCCCAGTAGGCCTTGGAAGAAATGGCAGCAAAGAATGGTGGAACTGTAACATGTCCACGATCTGGCGAGGCATGTGAGTTCTCTGCTCTGAAAAAGGTCTTCATATCATGAAAGCACTTTCCTGGACAATATGTACAATTACACTGTAAAATGTAATCCAATTGAAACGCCAAGCATGGCTAACCCGGAGAATTATATAGTCGAAATTAGATCATGGGGGTTACTCCTTTATCACACCAACTTGAAGCCACTTTAGCGGAATAGCAGCAACATTAATTCTGTTCACATTTGGATAGGTAAGTTTAGGAATTTTACGATCTTACATTACGGGTAAAATGCTTAGGCAAACCGGAACCCCAACCTATAGCCCTTTTAGCTCAGTGGTAGAGCGCGCCACTCGTACCAACATATGGCGAGGCCACTCGTTCAATCCGGGTAGGGGGCATAAATTTTATTTCCCAGAATTGGGACGTTAATGTCTACGAAACATTCGATATGTTTTTCCAGTTTTTCCAGTTTTTCTTATTTACACGTTATGTCAATGAAGATTTGGGATTAAAATTCAAGTGGTGAAGTTGTGGAGATTGACCTACGGTCGTCGGTTACAGGGAAATATTAATGCCGGGTGTGGCCTAGTTCACAGCCGGCCCTGGCCCGGTAACGTCCGCAAATGTAATTGGCAACCGAGAAGTTTAAGTTGTAGCACTACTAGCACCAGTGCTTCAAATCGGAACCTCTACGTCCTCAAGCTTATTTGAGTCTAAGTAGATGTCCCATCTTATACGAAAGCGTAATTTACTTGCGATTTCATCGATTAGCCGGAAGAAAACCGATAAGCCGCCAAAAAAAACGCTTACCTGGCTGGAAATCCCACATTGGCAAAGGGATAACGAATTTATTGTGACTGGTTACAGACGGTCAGTGATGGGAATGCTTACCACGCTTACACCACTTTTATGCAACACCAACAGAGTTCAAAACAATTGGAAAGGATGTATTGCCTCAATGTTTACATGTGGGCATTTACTGCTGTACTGATTGTTGACCCAACTTATCTACCGCCGCGGCGCCAGACTTGCACAACGAGACAAGTACCCCATTTTCATTCTAGAACTTAACATGTGCTGAAAAATTAATACCTAGTTAACATTCATAGCCATCTCTGGGGTGCTGTCCTATTCATGTACATCCTCGCCACTTATCGCGAGTCACATGTCCAAACACACCCTGGCACAACATGGATAGATGCGGCAGTAATCGCAGTATTTTTGTCCTCCGCAGTATTCTGCCTGTCTGCGAGTGCCTTTTATCATACATCGACCTGCCACTCGGAAAAGGTACGGTCAACGCATGGAATAGTTCTTTGACATAGCCTTTTTGTCATTTTCTAGGTCTCATCGCGCTGTCATGCTTTGGACTACTCTGGGATTGTCATCCTGACTGTAGGATCCTTCTATCCCTCTCTGTATTATGGATTTTATTGCGAGCGAGGCCTGCAAATTTTTTACACACTACTGATTACTATCGCTGGCCTTGGTAAGTGGCGATGATCATGATCGTAGTAGTGTAGTGATCATGATCACGTTGCTTACTTTAACGAATAATGAACAGGAGCATCATACATTGTCTTAAATCCAGAATATTCGAAGCCAACTCATCGCGGTGCCCGCACGATTGTCTTCATAGGCCTGGGGATGGGTGCTGTCGTACCTGTATCTCACCTCCTTGTAACACATGGATTCACTCTCCTCTTGTCGGAGATGGGCTTCGGTTGGTTACTGGCCTCAGGAGGCCTTTATATTGCAGGCGCACTGCTTTAGTATGTCGTACCATCTTTTGCCTCATTGTTCTACCCCTTTTCCCAATCTCCGTCTTCATTCCACTCGAAAAGACAATTCCAAATTTAACTACTCTATTTTTGTTTAGCTCAAACCGTATTCCAGAACGATTGGCGCCAGGCCGGTTCGATTATTTCTTCGCCTCACATCAAATATTCCATTTCTGTGTTGTTCTGGCGGCGATAGCCCACTATTCTGGGGTCCTGAAGGCTCTTGATTATCGGTTGTCACAACCACAATCTTGCAATCTATAGCCCCAGCCGAATTTCGGTCGCCATGTGAGGCCACCACCTGTCACCAACATATGTGTTGCTAATTATGTTCCAATCAGGCCGTCAGTTTTCTTTACTGAGCGCCGTTCACCCGGGCTGTATAGAATCGGAATTCCAAGGCATTCAACAACTCAAACCGCCTCGGTGACAATATATTTATAATGGATTATATATACGATTGCGATCAGCGCAGTGGTGGAATGATCACTTCACCTTGAGGGCGCACACAACGTGGGATCGTCGGAGCCGTCTGAAAGTTGCATGATGCCCCTGCGGAGACAATGTCTCGACCTTTTCAATCGGCACATCATTATCATCACACCATCAGCGATTGCTTCTCCGAGTGGAAACTGACATACTTATCACCGCAATAGCCCTAAGTGAGTGAAGACATAGTAACACACCGGTTTGCCGTACCCACGCAGGCCCGCTGACGGATTGCTTCACGTATTGCCGTCCCTATCAAGCGCACGAAGACACGGGAATCCTGAGAATAGCTTGGAGTAAGAAGGCGAGATAGGGATTCGATCAAAGCAATCCGTCACCACTCCCTGTGAACCCCAATTTCCACGAACTGAAAAACGGAGTGATCCCGGCCAGAACCGAGGCAACCGATGCTGCCTATGCCTGAAACAAGTGCAAGTGGAAAAAGCTTACTGATCGAGTTTCCTGCATGCATAGCACGATGCTTTGACAAGTGATGTTCACGTGTTCGGCAAACACACATCTTATTTGTTGAACGGCGATTCATCTCGGTCCCGACCCTCACTGGTGCCTCCCAATTGGAACGCTTTCAAGATCTCAGATATCAATGCCTCATTCAAGTGTCCTGCTTCCCTTTTCGTTACAGCTTGCCAGTGCATCGCCGAAATAAATGTGCTATAATTCCGGCAACTGAATATCTATTTTTTTTCATGGTGACAGGACCTGCGCCGGCATGGTGAACCCATGCAAGCTACAGCTATAAATGCTTTCCAAATTTCTCATGTTGGAACTTCACCTTGACCGTTTTACTCTCTTCTTGAGTACCCTCCCTCCTTACTATGCCTTATTCTATAGGCCTCGAAGCCGCCGCCACAGCATTTCTGTCCGCGGGGTTTGCGACCCAATTTACCTTGGCCGTTGTTGTCTTCCTCACTATCCTTCTCGTAACCTCTACATTTCAAAGGGACGCACCAGATGTGCCAACTTCCTTGCCCTGCTACTCTATATTTTCTATAATCCCTTTCTTTCGACGGAGATATGACTTCTTAAATTGGGGGTTCCATGCTACCGGGCAGAGCATCTTCCAGTTCCAACTTCTGCGAGTAAGTGCTTCTTTTCAGAATTCCTCACGTTACCCGACTTAACTTGGTATAGAATACGGTCGTTGTTGTCTCCGGGGAAAGCGCCAGACAAGCGTTTTTCACGGCCAGGGGCCTTGATCTCACTGAAGGCTTCAAGATCCTCTCTGGCGCGGTTCGCTGACTCTACGTCGTTTCATTATAACAATTTAGTTTACCATATTTGTAGATACCCATGGTTCGTGGGGTGACCTCAGACCTACAAACCAAGCGGATCGCCTTAATTCATAGGCGCCTGGCGGCTGTCCAACGAAATACACCGCTGAATGACCGTGAGTTATGCCTCTATATTCGTAGCATCCTCCACTCATGAAAATGTAGTCATACCTATCATTCTGGAAGATTCTCGGAGGATGATGGAGACTTGGGGAGCGTCCGGCACGTTCGACCCTTTCGATAAAATCTACGAGGTTCGCGCGCTCTAAATCAGAACGTATGGAGCATCAAGCTGACTATTTCCTGTCATAGCTTGTTTTTCAGACGACTGTCCGAAGTCTATCCTGCGCCGAAATTTCTGACGACGCGGCTCTTGTATCTCGTCTCAAGACGTTGTATGACAGACTAGATACTGGAACTACACCGGCCACTGTTCTTTTGCCATGGCTTCCTACTCCTGCAATGATAAAAAAGGTCTGGGCGACTAAAGAAATATATGATATTGTCACACAGGCCATAAAATCTCGGGAGGAGAGCGGAATCTCACGCAATGATTCTTTGCAACATCTATTGGATTCTGGAGACGAGAAACTTGTGATCGTCGGGGTTCGTTCCTTCTATGTTCCATTATACACTATTCTTGACTTACTGCATATATAGTTTATTATGGGTCTAATAATCGCCGGCGCTAGGGCTACGGGTACAACTGGTAAGTCACTGAGTGTCATCTTCGTAACGGCGATTGATCCTCCTTTAGCCTCCTGGGTTATAACATTCCTTGGTGGCCACCCCGAATGGCGGGTAAAGGCAGCCTCGGAAGTCAAATCCTTGATCGAATCTTATTCCCAATCGTCAATGGCTGCCGACTCTCTTTCTTCGCAGCTGGCCGCCATCCCTCTTGAAGTATGGGAAACAAAGGTCCCCGTCCTTGACGCAATTATCAAGGAAACGACACGAGTCGCCCAGCCACATACAGCTATGAGGCGAAATCTCGGACCACCTCTCTACATCGATAACAAAATTATTCCCACTGGAGCCTACGTCGTTTACCCGTTCAGCGATGTACACCTTGATCCTGAACTTTATCCTGACCCTTGGAGATTCAACCCAGGAAGGCCAGAACCAAAAAATACCACTTTTGGATACGTCGGCTGGGGAGGAGGTATTTCTTCCTTCCTATACATTATTTGCTCCGTCTGATCCCTCGCCCCAGGCAAGACCTTGTGTCTTGGCACCCGACTTGCCAAGATAGAGCTCAAAGTCATTACGGCTATGTTTGTCCTCGGGTTTGAGCATCGTATTGTTGACAAGCTCGGCAACACCGCGACCTCGCTTCCGACTCCCAATTGGAACGATATCCTTATGTGCCGTCCGCAAAACGGCTGTTCCATCAAATACGCGAGGTCAAGTATTCCTCTATGAACGATGCCGGACCAGCTTCTAATAGAAACGCCTAACTTATTCAACACCACGACATTCATTGTATCACCCAATTCGTCACCCCACTCCTTTCTTTCTATCTATTCATCCATAGATCACCTGCCGAAAGCCATGTACTGCAACATTCCTTTGACCACCTGTTTCTTCATTCACACTCTTGATTTTATCGCTTACTCTTTTATTTTCTCATGCATAGATTAAACTTCATCGTTGGTGGTTCCTGGCATATGTACTTCCGTCGGACGGACATCGAATATAATCCAAGCGTATCTTTGTACTTGCAATGACAATACCGACAGTAGGCCTACCATATATATTTTTAATCTATGTATTTATCTTGTTCTGTATCCCTGCCGCCCGCGAATACATAATACCAATTTGTCCCTCCATGCGTCG